TTGTTAAGACCCTGCTCATGCTAAGGCCCACCTGTTTACCTAAGTCTGTTCCACCCTGTGAATGAGGCCAAAAACCATTCCAGGATGCAGGTGACTGTTGCTGCCCTTAGTGTGCAAGGCAAACACCGCTGGCTGCTTTCCCGGGGCCTCTTCCTCAGCCCAGCAGGATTCACTCTCAGCTGTGTAGAGGAGGCTTCCACGCACACGTGGCCTGGGGCACTGGGTAGCAGGGGCAGAGTGGGGGCAGGCTGGACTCGCTCTCTGAAACTATTATGGGCGCAAGGCCATAGATGTCGACAGGAAAGGGGTGTAACATAGACGCGAAGGAAAACTATGGTAAATGAATAGATTGTGTACTTCACCATGAAGCTTTTGCTTCTTTCCGCAGCTCATTTGCAGCTACACAATGAAGTGTCTGCTGGAAATGTTTATCTCTGCTCTGGAAACCCTGGAACACCAGCTTTCATTAACTTTCCAATTCTGTTCTTTCAGAAGATCCCAATTCAGATAAGCTAATTTATATGAGTTAAAAATTACCTGAGGCGAGTTTCCAGGGGAATGTCTCCCCCCTCATCCTTCCCCAGCATTAGTTCTCATACTAGATAAGGAGAACTACTTAAAAAATGCAACCCACTGTCTTTTATTTTGGTAGATGAGTCTGAGGCCTTCATCTGGTAATTAAGGAAGTAACTCTTTAAAGCAGTGTTTTTCCACCAGGGCCAAGTTTGTCTCCCAGGGGACATTTGGCAGTGTCTGGAGACATTTTTCGTTATCATAATTGGAGTTGGGGTGAGATGCTACTGGCATCTAGTGGGTAGAGGCCAAAGATGCTGCTAACATCCAGCAATGGCCAGGACAGCCCCCCAAAAGAGATTATTCGACCCAAAATGTCAATAATGACAAGATTGAGAAACCCTGCTTTCAAGTTCTCAACAAGTTTACTACACATAGCCCTTATTATTCATTCAGCAAACAATTACTTGGAACTTAATATAATCTTAGGACATTATTGTGGGCCCTGAGAGTGGGAGCCCGCTTGCAGCATCTAGTAGAGGAATGACGGGGGTATGCAAGAAAGTATAATGTAATACAGAGCATGCAAAGTGCCTGAGTGAAAACACGGATCAATACAGGGGAGGAAGTGAGTTTGTGAGAATGGGATTGGGGGATGGGAGGAACTGATGTCACTTTCCCCAAGACAACTGCAAACTGCATGTTCACTCTCAAATATAAAATTCACTTTTAAATATAAAATTGAAGTAGGATAAAAGTAAAATTGCTAGGAAAGATCACCAAACCCCTAAGCACTTTTTAAGCAATCTATCTTTCTGTTTTTATATACACATCGTCAGAGAGAAGCCACCTACTGCTTTCCTTGTGACTTTGTTCCTTATTAAGATTATTTTCCTAACAATAATATTTTTCCAGTATCAAAGAGACATTTTATTTTCTTCTCCTGCTCTTAGTTTATTCTCTCTAGCTATACCTTTAAAACATTAATAAACATGTAGTGTAATTCTGTAACTGCTAATTAGCTAAGCAATACATACTTAGCCCCTTTTATCTCTCCTCAGATAACAACTTCAAGACTGTGAAGATGCACTTTCCTAGACTTCTGTTAGTTGGCCTCTCTTTTTCAGTGCTGAGTGCCAAATATGCAGCAGGCACAATTGTCTCCACACCCTTGCTCCCATTTTCCAAGCTGAAAGAAGCCCTGGGACGGCACAAAGATGCTTGTGAAGGAGGAAGATGAGGATAAAAGAAAATGGCTTTCCCCCCGGGAAAATTAGTGACCGGATCAGAGGGGGTTGGATCCAACAAAAGTGCACCTAGATTAGATTTGCAAGGCTGAAATTGCCCAGTGATCATTTTCACGGCAGATACCACAGACAATTATGTATCTTCCAGGTCAGCAATGTGGATGATAAAACTGTCTGGAACACTATCATTGACAAATGTGAGCTCATAGCTAAGCTGAAATTGAAACCAGTTATGAAAGAGAATTACCAGATGCTATATGTCTGCACACAAAATATTCCAGGCAATCTTACAAATCAAAAAATTAATATATGTCCTTGAGGCTCTACTTTGTGAATGTCTCTGCACAATACTAGGTGGCAATCTTTTATTTGTTTGTTTGTTTTTGAGTCTAGGTTTGAATCTTGGCTCTGCAAGTTAATACAACCTCTCTGAGTCTATATTTTCCCATCTATGAAATAAGAAAAATCATACCTATGTCTCAAGACTGTCGTTTATTGTAGCAGTCTGGGTCTTATCTGAAAAAGAGAGACCATGTTAGTTATTTGTAACAGAGAGAATTTAATATAGGGAATAGGTTAAGCAGTTGTTAGAGAATTAAAAAAGCAAAAAAGGGACAGTGAGGAAGCAGCTAGCACCCCGAAGGCTAGGAGAGCAAAGGGCAGAGATTGGGGTTATTAGAACCTGGAAGCTTGAACGAAGAACCCTGTGGAGCTGAGACACAGACTTCGGGGGAAGCGGTGACAGCTTCTGAGACACTGTCATCACAGAAGCTTAGTGGCCCGCAGAGCTGAGCCTCAGCTAATTCTGGGAAGGTGCAAAAGAGAGCTGAACACTGGAACCAGTTGCCACTGCCAGGGTGTTAGTCCATCACTGGGTGACACTCTCCAGGATCAGCAATTTTGCAAGAAGGCGCAAGTCCCTCCTCCCGCTCAACCTCAGTCTCCCGCTGGCACCTCTCTGGCAGATGGCAAAGGAGAAACATGATTGCAGAGAGCCCCAGCTTCACAAAGCAGAGTTCAGAAGTCTGGATTTGGAGCTGAGAGATAATAGCTTAATACCTGGCCCATTCATCCATTCATTACGTGCATGTGTGGAGTGCTTACTGTGTGTCCAACTGCAAGGCTCTGTGCTAGACACTGGGGACTCTGGAGAATTAAATGCAAAACTCTTACAAAGTGCACAGCTCAGTGACTGGCACAACGTAGACCCTCAGTTAAAACCAACTCTCTTCTCTCAGGTCCAGTGTGAAACATAAAGGAAGAGGGAATGGAAAACAAACAAGCAAAACAAATCATGGGGCTCCTGCCTTTCAGGAGTTCTGTGTTTAGATTAAGTGTTGTGGGATAAGGCAAAGAGCGAAGTACAAGGTAGATTAATACATGTTTGGACACTTTAAAAAGTATTTCAGACATACCTGTTTTCAGAATTCAGAGAAGCAATAGAATATTTTTGGGACTATCAGGGAAGCCTTCACAAAGAAGATAGGAATGAACAAGACTCGAGTATTTAGAAAATGGCCACATAAGTAGGACCATTAGGAACTGGAGAAAGCCATGAGCAAATCAAACACTGTGCGGGGGCCGGCCCCGTGGCGTAGCGTTGGGTACTGGCGGCCTGGGTTCAGATCCGGGCACGCACCGAGGCACCGCTTGTCTGGCCACGCTGAGGCCGCGTCCCACATACAGCAACTAGAGGGATGTGCAACTATGACATACAACTATCTACTGGGGCTTTGGGGAGAAAAAGGGGAAAAAAAAAGGAGGAGGATTGGCAATAAATGTTAGCTCAGGGCCTGTCTTCCTCAGCAGAAAGATATGGATTGGCATGGATTTTAGCTCAGGGCTAATCTTCCTCACAAAAAAAAAAAAAAAAACACTGTGGGAATTTTCAGGGTGCTTACATTGCCACCCCAGTCTCAAGGAATGAAGGTTGGATTCACAATGTGGAGAATGCAAAGTGGGGCCAGTAGAATATTTCTGGACTGTATTTGAAGGCGTAGATGAGCCGTTGGAGCTTTTTGAATGAGCAGAGGTTATGTGTAAAATATATTATCTTTGTAGTCCCTATCAAATCTAACACAATACCTTGCATATAGTGGAATTTTTGGAAAAAATTATTACATTGAATGGGATGGGATGGAATTATAAAGACAGGTCTTAACTTTGAAAAACTGCAAATACAGTAGTCCCCCCTTATCTGCAGGGGAATATGTTCCGAGACCCCTAGTGGGGACCTGAAACCGCAGATGGTACCAAACCCCATATATACTATGTTTTTTCCTATACACACATATTTGAGGTGTGACAGCAAAAGTAGCATGAATTTCTTTTTCCTTCTTCACAGTTTCATGGATAGAAGATTCATTCTTACCATAGATCTTAGTAAACTCAGCGTATGATTTTTTTCTTTCCTTATTAAGTCAAGAACTTTCACATTTTCACTTAAAAGAAGCATTTTATGGCTTCTCTTTGGCATATCCAAATTGCCAGCATCACTACTCTTGCACTTTGGAGCCATTATTAAGTAAAATAAGGGTTACTTGGACACAAGCACTGCAGTACTGCCACAGTCGATCTGACAACAGAGATGACTACTAAGTGACTGACGGGCGGGTAGCATATACAACGTGGATACGCTGGACAAAGGGATGATTCACGTCCCAGGCCAGACAGAGCAGAACGACTCAAGATCTCATCATGCTACTCAGAATGGTGTGCAATTTAAAACTTATAAATCGTTCTTTCTGGAATTTCCATTTAATATTGGTGGACCATGGTTGACCATGGGTAACTAAAACCATGGAAAGTGAGATCTTGGTTAAGGGAGGACTATTGTATTTCTCTTTGTTTTAATTATAATAATAAATACTTTGTGAAATGTTTTGTGCAATCAATGAGCAATTTTAAGGCCAAAAGTTCAGGAAATAAAAGAATTTAAACAATGATAAAAATTTTAACAAACAAAGATGTAACTCACCCATCAAGACACTGTGCTCATTTCACAGATTGAGACCCCACCATCAGAGTAAATGAGACGTTGACGAACGTTGACTTTGCAGAGACTGGGAGGGCTGTTGAAAGCCTCATGGACTTATGCAGAAAAAGTGTTGGGCAACGTGTTTTTGAATCAATTTTAGTGATTCATACAGAAAAAAATAATATAATTGGTGTTAATTTTGAAAATGAGTTTGCAGAGTATATAGTATACTTACAGCTAATCTGTTTTTTTCTTCTTGGCAGATCCATTACAAGATTTTGGCTTTTCTGTTGACCAGTGTTCCAAACAATTAAAATCAAATCTCAACATTAGATTTGGAATCATTCTGAGTAAGTAAAAATTATGGACATGAAATAAAACATTGCACAACCTCTTCCTTGACCACACACCTAGTTACTTATATTCACTATACTGGCTGGCTAAGCCACTGTTCCCCACCACTCTGTGGAATTAACTCTATTTCTATCTTCATTTTCAGCCTCTTCTCTGGGTAATATCCAGAGAGAGTAGAATTCTCGTTTAATGCTGTGTTTTAGTACTAAAAAGACTCTAGGCACTCATTCGGATGATATAAGGACCTGGAATCAGTATATCCAGCAAAAAAAGAAAATATTTTGAGCCTAAGTATTGACGTCTGCTCAGGAGAGAGCTTTTGCTTTGTTATCTCAGCAACAAACACATCTACTACCAGCAGCATGGTTTGTCTTTGCATTATTTCATTTCCCAAATAGCTAAAAGAAGTTCTTAAACCTTGACACAGGCAAAGACATGCAACATCTTCTTCCCCCACCCCAAATCAATGAACTAGAATGCTTTCTGATTGTCTATTTTTATATAGCCATGCCATCACAGTTAGTCATCATATTGCTATAGCTATTAGGGTTTCTCCTTTTTCTAAAACAGTTTTATCAAAACCAGAGCAGAAGGATTTAATAAACTTAGCATGTGGAATCATTCCAAAGAAATGGCAGGAACATTCCCAGAGTCCAAGAACTCTCTTGCAGCTTCATATTTCCAGAACCTTGCACAATATCTGGACTCCACAGCAGCAGCTCAGTAAATGCTTTGGAGAGAGAAAAAGAGAGAGAGAAAAGAGGAATGGAAGGAGGAGTGGGTAGAACATAAAAAGGAGGAATGTAGAAAAAGGCAGAGAGAATTAGAAGCCAGCACTGCAAGCACCCTGAAGCTTCCTGTGTAACTACAGTACATCTGCTTAGCAACAGTAGGGGTATGCTGGCTCAACCACATCCCACTGCTGTCAGGGGAGGTGCACAATACTGTGTAGCTGAGAAGTTGTAGAAGCCGGACCTGCAGCCGTCACATTAAGGGGCCATGGCATCAGGGTGGGGAAGTACAGCAGATTAACTACCTTGCTCCAAACAGATCAAGTTTGTGAAAGGGCTGTGTTTCGTACCCAGGCCTGTCACCATAATTCCCCATACCATTGCCTAAATGCCATTTTACCAAGAAAAGAAAAAACTTCCCCATACACTGCATACTTCTGAAAATAAAAGATCCTTTGGCTCATGCTTTTATGAATTTTGAATGCTTTAGTATATGGCGAAACCCACACTAATCATAAAGCTGGTCTTCTCTTTCCCTTTAGGAGAGGACATCAAAGAGCTGTTTCTTGACGTAGCTCTCTTCACGAAAGGCTCATCCATTCTGAATTACTCCTACCCCATCTGTGAAGAGGATCTGCCCAAGTTTACCTTCTGTGGAAGAAGGAAAGGGGGTAAGTGGTCTGTTTTGCTAACTGCTTGCTGAGGCCCAGCGAGAGATGAACGAGAGCTTGCAGCCGCGGTTGGACACCCAGGCCGGAGTCTTTGCTCTACCTCTTACTTTTGGACAAGCTTAACCTCACTTATCAGCATTTGTTATATAAAAATAACCATAAGGCCCATCCCACAGGGCCTACCTTACAGGGCGAGTGGAAAATCAAATGAAATATGCATATGCGGCACTTTACAAACAGGAAATTGTTATTGTTAGTAGTGGCATCTGATAAAAAAGGATTGGCAGCAGAAAGAACCAGCAGCTTCCCCAAATCCATTGAGGTTCGAAGTGTTTCCAGATTTCTCCTAAGTGATCTCTTTAGTTACAGGGTCTCCTCGATCCAGCAATGCATCTGAAAAAGAAAACAAAATTAAGCTTTCTAAATGTCATTGTTACTGTGGTCTTTCCCATTGGCGTCATTGACTGGCAGGGGCACAAGGTAGCTAGACTCAGAGCACAGAAGCATAAAACCCATTATCTTCTCTTTCTCCAATTCATAAGCTCCCTCCTCCCCCCACCCCAGCCGTACATACCCCAAAGAGCCCAGGAACGTCACTCCAGCCTGTCCCCACCTCTCCTCTCCTCCTTGTCTGCATCCACCGTCTTCACCAAGGCCCTGAGATGCTTCTGTTTATGTAACTAAAACTCAGGTCTGATCTGTGACTGTCCTTCCCTAGTTGTTTTCCTCCTTCCAGGGCTTCCTTCCTGTTCCCATTGGCCAAGGGGGAGCATACCCCTAACCTCACATTCCAGAAACATCCTCTTATCTATTTCCTCACTGGAGGAAACTGAGAGAAATCACCCACTTACGCTTTCTCAACAAAGGATCTAGAAGAAATTAGGGTCCCCTTCCCATACTAAGGGATGCAGACAAAGGAAGTTTGTGCAAGAAAAGAAAACAAGGCATTTAAGGGAATGCTGGCCAGATGGAGCCTGGTGGACATAGCTGTGATGTGTAGATGACAAGCCTCAGCTCAGCCCTCCCTCCTCACCCCCTCTCTGCTCCCTGATGTGTGGGATGCATTAAATTTATTATAGCACTTGCCATGTTGGCCTATAATCATTTATTCCCTTTTGTCATCCCCAATAAACTGTGAGCTTCTTGAGGATGGGGTAGTATCATCTTTGTCTTTTTATTCCCAGGATTTCGAATGTGCCTGATGCACAGGGAGGGCTAAATATGGCACACAAACAGAGTAGAATAGCCAACATTACTAGGCATTCGTACCAGGCACAGTTCTAAGAGCTTTGCATCCAGTAAATCATTCACTTCCTATCCCAACCTTATGAGTTAGGACTATCAGTACCTTATAGATGCAGAAACTGAGCCACAGAGAGTTCTAGCAACTTACACCAAGTCACAGAGCTGGTGAAGGACCCATGGCTCAAACCCAGGCACGCTGGCTCTAGGGCCCTAATTTTAGCTTCTGAAGAATAAATGAACAAAAGAACAAATAACAAAAAGTATGAATGTGCCTTTGGGCCAGGAGTTTATTCAAAATTATCATTTAAGAACTCCTGCTGGCTAGTGATCTGACTTTGTTTCAAATTGGGACATTTTTTTCCTTCCTAGCTAACCTACTATCAACTGATTAGTCAGTTTTGCTCTCTGAACTTACTGGAAATATTTCTGAGTAATTGGTCACATTCAGTATTTCCTCAGTATGATGAACTCTTCTTTACCATGGTCCCCATTTAACCTTTTCTACGTGTCCTCTGCCATGCCTATCCAAAACTCCTCACCCCCCAGTCAGCCATTCTTTCATTTCTCCATTCCTTCCTTCTTTCCTTCCTTCCTTCCTTTCTTCTTTCCTTCCTTCCCTCTTTCCTTCCCTTCTTCTCTCCCTCCCTTATTCTCTCTCTCCCTCCTTCTTTCCTTTAACACTAAGTCCCTACTCTGTACAAGCACTTTGGGGAGCCTGAAGATGAACCAAGAATGGTTCTGCCTTCGAGGACATTCTGATGGACTAGAGGAGATTAGAGATCCCCAAAACAACTATTGCAGGTTGCTGTGTGTGGCGTGTGCATCCAAGAGTTACAAGCAGAATGCCCAGGACACCTGAGAGGTAGAGTTCATCCCCAACAGGTTCAACCTGTGGGAACATGCAAAATCTGGGAAATTTAATACAGAATTACTTTCCTGTTTCCCTTAAGGTTATTTGAAAGCCTGTTACAGGCTTTTCAGCATTCTTTTTATATATATAATTTGTGCATAGAATATTAGCACTTGAGGTCTGCCAGCGTTTCTGATTTTGTAGACTGTATTGGAGGAACTCAAAGGATCTTGAGCTGATAATTAAATAATAACCCCCCCAAAGAAAGACTGAGAACTTCATAGGCTGCCACCTATAGCCAGCATCTGTAGTCCTATCTCTTGTCTTTTGCTTATCTTTCCAGTTTTTCTCCAAAATAAGTATTCTTGAACTCAATATGGAAAAACGTACGCTTGGAAGTACTACCAGCTTGGTAAGAAAGCACCCATACTGGGCTGTCCTTCATTCCTATTTCCTTCTATTCCCTGAATAGCTTCCCTATCTCCCTCCAGGATGATGAAAATGGCTTCCTAACTGGTTTCCCTGCCTCCGTACTGCTGGCAGGGTAGTCTTCTCAAATATAGATATGATAATGTGTCCCCTTTTCCGAAAGACTTCAAGAGTTCCCATTTCTATAGAACAGGTTCTAAGGTCTGTAGTGACCAAAGTCCATCACAAATTTGACTCTAGCCTGCTTCTTCAGCCACATCTTGTGCCACATGCACGTTTAGCCACAGCTTCAACAAATCCTGTGCCACTTTCTGACCACACCCTGTATTTAACACGCGTGACCTTCTTTGGATGGTTTCCTTAACCTCTAATGCCCGTTCTACATTTGTCTTCCATCCAGACCTAACTCAAGTATCACTTCTCAGAAAGCTTCCTCCAACCCCCAGCCAAATGAATTACTCCCTCTGGTGCTCCTGGAGCATCTTGTTCCTACTTATCTCAGCTGAAATTGTATTCTATAGTTAGATAATGTGTGTGTGTGTGTGTCTCCCATTAAACTGTGAACTCCTTGAAGGCACGAATATTTCTTGCCCCTCTCTGTCTCTGCAGACTTGACAAAGAAAGCCTGGCACAGAGTACAGATGTAATAAATACTTGTTTTATTGAATTTGCATTTGACTGATTGAATGCACATATACCAGCCCACCCCAAAAGTGACTATCTAATGATGCTTATGCATGCCACAAAGACACAAGGCACATCAAATCCTAGCAAACAGTAAATTGTCTTAGTCCTCCAAGTTTAAGAAAACCTAAATATTTTTCCCTCTGGAAATGGTTTTAATAGAATTAATAAAACAGAAGAGATATTGTTCCCCCAAACTGAGGTATCCAATTGAGTTTAGCAGCTCGAAAGGCTGGTGATTACCTTATCCACATGCTGGGCAGCCTGCAGCTATTTATTTGTTTTATTGCCGTGGGGTTGATAACTGCACAAGCAGGCTAAGAAGCTGGCACCTGGGGAATTGCCAGGAAATTTCATATAGTGTGAAACAATCAGAAAAGTGCTATACAAATGTTGCATGAACAAATAATTATGTAAATTCTATAAGCCAGAGAAACTAAAATCTTAAATTCAGAGACTTCTTGCATTATTGCATTTTTTTAACCCACCCACAAACCTACTGCAGGAATGATTTTGTTTAAAAAATGTGATTAATTCTCACATCAGAAGGGGAAAAAAATGGCACCAAGGAGAACTGAAGTCCCCAAGCTGCTGTGGACATATTAAGCAGGATGTGGAGTCCCTCTGGGGTTTGCAGATCCTTCTTAGCAGAGCAGTGAGAAGGCCTGGCATCCACTGCAGGCAGCGTATGGTGGTGTCAGTTGCAGTTGAGTTGTTCAACACCATTTCTGTGGCGTTACGATGCCTTCCTCTGCAAACCTACACCTCGCTGGCTGTTCTCTAAGCCAGATGAAGCTACAAAATGGGTCAGGCTGAGTAAGACTGTGAAGATAAAATGTTGTTTCCTTTTCTTCTGCATCTTCCTCAGCTAGCTCTAAGGCAAGAGTTCATTGGATTCGAAGATTATGTGATGCTCTTTGGCATTATCATTTATGGTGTGATTGCAATGCAGGGGAAACTGCCCACATGTCCAAGTATAGGAGATTGAGAAGTAGGTCATTGTTCAGTCAAGCAAAGGTACAGTATGCTGTGCTTTTAAATGATGTTGTAGGTGATTATTAAATTGCATGAAAACATGCTCATAAGAATATTGTTAAATGACAGAGAAGCTTGCTATAAAAGAGTACTCACTATTGGATACTGTTTTTATTAAAATGTTTGTACATGTATACACCAAAAAAAACTAAAATAGTGTACACTTAGGTTCTAATAGTGGTTATCTCTCAATGGTGGAACTGCCCATCTTTATTTTCATCTTTTTGGAAATCTCTTTTGCTTTTATAATAAATTTACAAGGTTACTCTGTTAAATGTTAATTGATCATTGTAGGAAAGAATAGAGAGGATGAATTCTCTTCCTCTGTAGGGTAAGTAAGAGTTTGCAAAAATAATCATAGCCTACTTAATATTCCATGATATTTGGAGTTATCCAGAAAGTTCTGAATCAAAGTGTTGCATAGACTGTCAAAGGATCGTCCACTACCCACTCTGGACTCTCTCCCTGGGATGCCCACAGGCCCCTTTACCCAGCTGTGGGTTCAATGAGAAGGAACCAGAATAGACCACTGTTTTACTTCCTGCTCTGTTAATGCTCCCCTAGTTCCTTTCTCTCCTCTGGGGGCTTCAGACCATATAGATTCATTTGCTTTATTTGATCTGGCTGCTTTCAAACTGGCTGCATCAATTTTTAAGACTAAATTGGGATTATATTGAATGTCTTTAATGGCCACACCTAATTACTAACCATAAAGCTGAGTTCATAACTCCTCAAGTTAAGAACAGTAATGCCGGCG